TCAGGCTTGGATTTACAAAGCCAGTCAATGAAGACTCTTCCAGAATCTTCCAGCAAGTCAGTTGTAGGATTATCAGTGTGAGGCTCATGGAGACACACGGAGCTCTGTGAACATGGTGAACATGCTGACCACAGCCAGCATTACCAAGAACAAGCTCACTGCCACATATTCATTCACAGCGATTTCACAGAAAAGTACTTTTTTAACAATATACTTGAAAAGACTAGCTGACCTAAGATGCTTTGATAATGTCTATCTAGTCCCTGTATATAATGCATTGTAAATAAATACAGATACACAAGACGATCAAAGAAATGTAAGATGATCAAAACGAGAAGAATAAACACTAAAGGACTGAAAGGTGATTCACGATGGCTGTGAATGTACACAAAGACCAGGGGAGGAAACTGTGGAGGACTCAGGACACGACTGTGTTCTGCTGTCTCCCTGAGTGTGGGTGTCCCGCTCCCAGGATTCATAACCTTTCACCTGCATGCATGTTACAACTCAAAGTGCTTTTATTCAAATATATTTGGTAAAAAATCCAATAAAAATGACAGAAATGAACCAGATGATGTAACTTTGCATGTGTTTGATAACTCTCTCTTGAACCAGTAACCCACTTAGGAAGGCTTCTCCAGGCCACAAACGTCCACACTAACTTTAAGAACAAACATTGTTTGATGTCATTTCCTTAATTTCACTTTAGATTATCCCCTCCAACAAGTGTGGGTGTAAACCAGTTAGTCACTGTGACAAACACGTGTTGCTCTCAGCGCTCCGGTCGGCTGCGCAGGGTCCGGCATTCCTTGGGGCCCCTTTCACTCTTGGATAATTACTGCTGCCTTGTGGGAGAGGAGGAAGTGCCAGCGAGAACAAACAAAAGCAAATTAGAGGATGCAAATCCGTGCTTGAGTGAATGTGCTCGATCTATGGTTTCAATAGGCCTGTGCAATGACTGTTGGCTGAAATCCAAGCCTTGTTTTCATTTATCACAAAAAATTCAAAATTGATCCCTTTGTTATTATTTAGGAATCTTACAGACAAACCTGAGTGCTCTAAGCAGCGCTGGTCCTGGTGGGTAAATAAAAGCTGTGACTTTTTACCAGATTTTACAAACAATAGGAATGTTTCTACCCATAGAGACACAATGTACCCATTCATAGCTCTGACAGAACGGCGTGTTCATACTCTGAAGGATTACACAGACGACAGATTATTACACACAGCATTTTTTCTACTGACAGCTTAACTTTGGGGAAAGTGCTGCTTTCATTGGTCTAACATCAAAATCTGATGCCATCCTTTTTATTCTAGCACAGGGACATTGTGTACATACACAGTGCTCAATAATTATGTTCCTGAAAGGTGGTTTCCAATATTTACATCAATTGCCCAGTACAATTGTTTGGCTCTGTAAGGGGGGGTCTCCTAAATAGAAATACTTCTCACTGCCATCGCTCGCACTGACAACATGAACGTATACAGGCAAAGATGTATGAGGATCTAAATATGACATTACTTTGGACCTCTGACCTCTTCTTCAAGGCCAAATAAGGTCACACTTTCATAACTATGATCTACTTTTACATTTCACATCTGCTTTTCTTTCAAGTTCACACAGAAATGATTTGATCTTTAAAGGAAGTTTCGTTAAGAGAAAGAGAATGAGCTGCTTAGTTAGCTAGAAATGTAGGGGAGACCGGGGATAGTTGTAACGTGGGTCAGTTGTAACACTTCCAATTTCTCCAATCAGGGCTAAGTTTCAAATGATGTGACTCATCCTGTGCATGCCCAACTCAGTTCTGCTATCACATGTGAAAAATCAGCACATTTTGTCAAACACAGACAATTTAACACGAAAAAAAGTAATTTGTATGCCAAAAAGTAAGTTTTTCTACTTTATTTCTATCTGCTTTGCAGTTAAACTCATCAAACTTAAATTATGTTATTTGTATGTCTATGGGGATATATTCTGTGTAGGTCTTTAGTGCTAATGTTTTAGCCGTTGGCTGTAATGTTAGCTAGTTCATGGCTATAGGAGTCTGGGTCAGTTGTAACAGCAACAGTCTGGGTCAGTTGTAACAATAATGCAGATGTTACAACTTACCACACTATTACTTTAACTTATATTAAACAAGTTGGGGCAACGACATCAGCAGAGAGAGGTTCACTGGTCATTTGTATATGCGGTTAATGCCATTGGCAACACAATTCCTCCACTGTTTGTGTTCCCACACATACATTATGCAGACCACTGTGTCAGAGATGGACCAGTAGGAAGTACTGGTAGTGGAAATAAGTCAGGATGGGTGCAAGAAACAGATTTCCTCATCTTTCTGAAGCACTTTGCAAACCACACCAAGGTAAGCCATGATAAAAAGTAATGGAATTGCGATGCTGGTGAACAACTACATTTTTTCAGCTTCATTGTTATGTTCAAAATTGGTGCAAGAGTTGTAGGTTATAATGCCCACTGAGCCAATGAGGCCAAACTCAAGGAAGACCAACCAAAATTAATGAAATATTCAGTTGCAGAAAATTCCATAATTTGTCTTTTTTGGGGGGTCAAATGAGCTTGCAAAGAAAAGCGTCTGGACTTCTTTAAGTTGCTTGAAGACGTTTCACCTCTCATCCGAGAAGCTTCTTCAGTTCTAAGGTCAAATGGTGGAGAGTCCCAGATATAAACCTAGTGGGAGTGACCCCCCACAGAGGGACAAAAGGACCCCCTGATGATCCTCTAATCGCCTGAGCCAAGGTGTGAAACTGGGCGTGGGTCCCAATCAGCCAGAGTTTCGGGTGTGTTCATTGTGAAACCTGGCCCCACCTTTATCGGACTAGAACTGAAGAAGCTTCTCGGATGAGAGGTGAAACGTCTTCAAGCAACTTAAAGAAGTCCAGACGCTTTTCTTTGCAAGCTCCTTTGACTACGATGACCTGGATGACTGTTGCAGAAAATTCCATAATTTGTCTTTTTTGGGGGGTTGGAATATGTTCAAAAGTTAGATTTCTGCATTCTGTCACACACACACATAGTTGCATAAATGGCTCTAAGTGCATTCATGTGTTGAATAAACAAAGATTACATGTTAATGTTTTGTTAGTACCCTTATTTCATTTTGTTACATTTCACCCCGGGATATGTTACAACTAACCCAGACTATGGGGTTAATTGTAACATTTCACTCTTTGTGTTTGAGGCCATACCATGCAATGGGTAATTGTGCTGTGGAGAATATAGCTGCACTATTTAATAGCCGAGACATGTAAATACTTTGCATTACATTTTGAATCCACTACCTTAAAAGAGCTCCAATTTACAGAGAGAAATGTCAAAAATGTTACAACTATCCCCGGTCTCCCCTACTGTAGTACATAATAGACTTAAGTTATTCATGTCCAGTTATTAACAAACTAAACTAACCAATAACTTCATTGCTAATGTATTATACAAAATAAAATGGGAAATGACAAAAGCCTCCACTTTGCACTTGTTTTTACTGGAATACAAACTTCTTAAAGTACGTTTAAAAAGATCAAAGAAAACTAAACATATAAATATACAATAATATTTCCTGAAAAATAAATACTCAGAGAGTGAGCTGCCTCAGCGGCGGTCTGCACTCTCTGAGTATTTCTTGTTATATATATAAAAAATATATAATTACATAGAATCTGTTAGTCCCACTGGTTCTCAGCACTGACTGAGTGACAGTTAAGGGCAGCAGAGGTTGTATGCAACATTTTAATCCTTTTGGGAATCAGAGGAATTTCATTTCATTAGATGATTTCTATTCTTGTGTGTTTGTCAGGCTGTTTGCTTTCTGCAGAGTCTCACCTGTGGCCGAAGCCAGCGTCCTGTCATCACGTTCCTGAGGCCCTGGGTGATGAGATCTCCAAAACTGTCAAGCAGGCATCAGTCATAAAGCAGGATGAAGGGGTTGGTATGACGGGAACAATGTGTCTCCGGCCCCGGTGGCATCCCTCCAGCTGCTCGCGACCCGATGCACCTCCTGAAGGAGGAAACCACAGAGCACTGAGGTGGCTTTTCAGTCCCACTCGAGGCTGAAAGCACCAACAGGTTTGTCTTTCTTTTAATCTGATTACAGCGGTGGGTGGATTGGAAAAGCTCAAATACACAGAAGGGCTGGAAAAGTCTGGACACACAGGAAATCTGTTGCAGTGGTGGAAGAACAGGTAAACCTCTTAGAACAGACAGGAATAGAACAAAGAGGAGTACAGAGAGATTTAGTTATCCGGAGACAGACGGCACGTAATCCGGTTATTTGTTTTTGTCCCAAAAATAACAAGACAGTAAGTCATGCTATCCTTCCTCAAACATGTGGGTAGGTTTAAATATTAGTTTAGATCCAGAATTTTAAAAAATAAAATAAACAGACATTTCCTTCCCCAGCATCTCTGATGCATCAGACTGATCATCTGATCAACTGACTGTTGTTGGTTTACTGGAGCCTTCCACAAACTGTTGTTTATGCTCTCTGCTGTTATCACTGTAACACATTTCTCTGCTCAGTGTCACAGGGGACCACACTGGATTTAATCGTTGTGCTGTATTTTGGATATATGGATCATCTGACTGATCATAAATATTGATCAGACTGACGACAAATTCCTTTTTCTTAAAAAAGAAAATACAATAAAATAAATCTGGTGTCCTGTAAGACATAGTCATGGTGACCAAACGCTTACCTAAATTATGTATACACATATCCATTACAAGGTTGAGCAACATTGCAGAATCATATTTGACTACATGAAATAAAGATATAGTATCTACGGACAAATATGAATGAGTTCTTCCTCACAAACAAGTCTCATGCAGTATTTTTAAACTGAACACTTTCATTTTTGTTGTGTGTATCTTATGATTTAATTAATTTTGTTGAGTTTTTTGTTATTGCTATTTTTAAAGAACTTTTTGTTTCAAGGGAGCTGGAATTTTATTTTTTAAAGCTTTCCGGTTCTACCTCGTATTCCATCCGATAGTTCTAGGAACCGTCCTCTTTGTTCCGGCGTTACTCGAGCAAACATGGCGGCGGAAGGAGATGTCGATTTGGACTTGGAAGCCGAGGAAAACTGCACCGGGAAGCCGGCAGAGAAGCCTCGGAAACATGACAGCGGGGCCGCTGATTTGGAGAGAGTGACAGACTACGCGGAGGAGAAGGAAATCTCCAGCTCTGATTTAGAAACGGTGAGAGCAGCGGGCTAACGTTAGCACCGGAAACATGCGGTCCGTGCTGCCGTCGTTTCCCGCACAGCGTCACTGACACAGAACCAAGTCTAGTGTGTTTGGTGTGTAGCTTGTGTTTTATACACACTTGATCTGCACGAGTTTTGCCTGTTTTCATGCTAGTAGCTAACGTTTGCGCAATTATGTAACGTGAGTGATAAACTCGGTAACTAATTGCTTCGTGGCTCGCCAGGTAAATCCGCACACCGGTTTTCTTTAAAACAAGTAAAATATGTTTTTTTAAAAAAGACACGACAGCCTCACAGCTGAGACAGCATGCTGCACATAGAACAGCAGCGTTATAGAGAGCGCACATGTCCTGTCAGGCTTCTGTTTTTAAATGTCTCTCATTAGCTCCGGTATGAAAAACGAAAACCTTTCAAACGTTAGGGACGTAATCACAATCCCCTAAAGTTGATTCTGTCCATCTGCACGTGGGAGAAACGTTTTGTCACTCATCCAGGTAACTTCCTCATTCTCAGCTGACTGCAGGTTTCAACCTTTTGGGGATTTCCTTCCCTGGATGATTGAGCGACGTAATCACAACTTCAAAGTAATTGCTCTCCCATTATGAGGCACATCTAGTAATCAAATAGGGTTCACCTCACTGATGCCTGCATCAGAAAATAGTAAAATGCTGCCTGACATCATTTTCCAAGCCCACTCCACCGCAGCGCCTCCTGAAGACCTTCAGGTTATATTTCGACCTAAAGGAAAAAATTAACTACTGCACACTAACTCACGATATGATAGAGCAGCACGGAGTGAGGCCAGAGAAGTATTTCAGTTTTTCTCACCTTGAAACCTTGTTTCTTGACAAAATACCAATAATTAACGCCTTTTGGATAAATGCACATTTTAATATTCATTCGTAAACATTGTGTGTGGCACACACAAATATTTGTGGTGCTTCCTAATGAGTGGTGACGTGGCTAGATTATTCCCATCATTTGTGCGACCGTCTGTTGGTGTTTGAGTCATGAAATGTGTACGCACTGTACACTTTGAGTTGTGAGCAGGACTTTATTTACTTGTAACATTTACTATTTAAAAAAAATCATTAATTTGTGGGACAAAATGCTTGGATATGTAGAACAGAGATTGTCTGGGTTGCGACATTCTTCATGTTTGACACACAGGAAGGTGAAAACCATATAAATGCTATAAACAGTGTTTCCTGTCACAGGCCATGTCAGTGATTGGAGACAGAAGGTCGCGGGAACAGAAAGCCAAGCAGGAGAGGTAAGAGCAGCTTCATCTGTAACTGAAGTGTTGGCTCCTTGTTGCCTCAGTCACTGTAAAAGACCCAGGAGAGTCGCGATGTTTTATTTATTCCTGCTTTCAGAGAAAAGGAGTTGGCCAAAGTCACCATCAAGAGAGAGGACGTAGAGCTAATTGTAAGTTGTTGTTTTTAATTATTATATTATTTATTTTACTCTTTTTGTGTATTAATCCATTTAGCTGTTATACAACCACACAAATGCTGGTTCACTACATGGTCTAAAGCATAGGTGTCAAACTCTGGCCCGCAGCCTAATTACATTTGGCCCGCGAAGCCATACCACATTACTATTAGAGCTGGCCTACTGGTATTATACAGCTAATATATATATTTTTTATTATTAAGCTTTGCTTGTTCCAAATTCAGTTTTTCAGCGAAACTTGTTTGAGTCCATAAGAAAAGATTCATTTTTATATCTGGAGGAAGATTTTTTTTTTAATAAATATTAATGTTAGCCCGCGACTTGTTCCAGTTTTGAATTTTGGCCCACTGTGTATTTGAGTTTGACACCCCTGGTCTAAAGTATGTGGACACTAACGCCGTGTGACCCAAACCCAAAAAGTTGATTCCGTTTTTTAGTTGTGGTGAAAATGATAAATGAGCATCTTGGACCAGAATCAAAAACACTTCTATTGATAATTGACAAAAATCAGATCTCAGCGATCTGAAAGTAGCAGAATTCCTAAAAGCTTCACTTGAAACGATTAGAACTGGAATTCCTTTCCTTTGATTTCCCAGGTGATCGCAGCGTATGAGCCTGGCTCTACAGTGGAGTAGTTCCTTCACACAGTCACTACATGTGTGCACATATGACTTATGTTACCTTATTAAGTCCCGACTATTATTGTAAATTGGTGATCTAAAAATAAAATTCAAGTTGGACCAGTGCTGTCTAACGTTTGTTGATTGGAGCATTGGTAATGGAAACTATCAAATATTAAACCTAGGTTTTAAATTACATCAGTGTCCTGAGCCAAACTGTAGTTTTTATAAAACCAGTTGTCTTTACGCTTCTTTTGGTGTCCAGATGTCTGAGATGGAGATTTCGAGGGCCGTGGCTGAGCGCAGTCTGAGGGAACACATGGGGAACGTGGTGGAAGCTCTGGTGGCTCTGACCAACTGAACAAACATGACTGACACTGGACTGCTTCATTAGGCTCATCGGTCACGCTGGGTGGTTAAACTGTCGTGGTGTCACCTTGACAGTTGTTTTTGTGTTTTTGTTTTTTAAATAAAAGTTGACATTTGGCTTCTTTCATGTCCATTTATGAAAAAAGAAAACACACTGCTTTATTGAAATAGTCATCAAACATCAGTAAACAACACCGAGGAAAAAGGAACGAGTCAGTGGGAGACTGTGTGTACTAAATGTTGAATTTACAAAATTACATAAGCCATCGTCCAATGACATAGAAACCTCTTTTTGATGGTTTTACAGCTGAAATCCCACCAGCTGCATCTCCTGTAGATTTCATGGAGCCAGCAGTCCATCTGCTGATTTCCTTCCACGTCATAGTCCAGAAAAACAGACCATCAGGCTGCAGCTCAGTCTCTCAAAGTCTTTACAGCTGCACCGTGGGCCTGCTCATATCCTCTTCATGTGCATCTTAAGTCTTCCTCTTCTTCACGGTGGGCCGGTCAAACACGTCCCTCACGCCTGCTGCCTTCTGCTTGAAGAACTTGGTGTTCTGAGCGCTCTCTTGAGCCCAGGCAGAGTCGAACGACGTGGTGTCCTGGTCCACCAGGTGGGTGTACTTTGTGCGTCCAGACCGACCAAAGTTTTTCACCTTTGCAGGAAACACAAGCCAGAAAAGATCAGAGAGCCCCGTGATTGAAGAGAAAAAGAAACTTTTTTTTTCCTATTGCCTGAATAAGATGCACTGTTATTGTCTCTACTGCTCTGTGCAGCACAAGAGGTTCTCTCAGCTGTCAGCACATGTGAGAAGAAGTCAGTGGAAGCAGCAGGTCAAAGACGACTCTTTAGTCATTAAAGCTTCAAAACAAGTACTGATTTATGAAAACGCACTAATAAACAGATGCAGATTAACAATAAAGTGCACCAAGTAAGCAGGTCCAAGCTAGATGGAGTGCTGAAACACCCGCAGCACACAAGGACATTTAATTTCACAACATAGCCGTCCAAATGTCTTCAGAACAACAAGACACAAATGTAAAAACATGGTTAAGTGTTTACATCCTCCTCTCTAAGGTTCCAACTACATCTCCTGAGAAACAGCACAAACACCTGAAAACCATTTAACCTTATTTTTCATATGAACACAACGCTGTTATAACAATGTTCAGTGAAACAGTCCAGGCTACGATGAAGATGAGGAAAAAGCAAACGCCACTGACCTGCATAACTTTGGGTAGGATGGTTTTGTTGAAGTGATCCTCCAGAGTAGGTGCACTGAAATCTCTCTTGTACACGTCCTCCTCCTCGTCCTGCAAAAGAAAAACACATCCTGACACTTAGACTTATCGCTGACATCATCAGCTAATATCCTGCAGCTTGGATCGATGAGCCAGAAGGTCAGAGATGTTACGACTATAAAAGCGTTTTGGTGTAAAAAAAAAAAAAAGTCAGGACATTTTAAAAAGCTCACTGATACAAGAGTTTGCTGTTGAGGACAAAACAGTACAGGCCTGGTGCTTGTTTAAAGTTCACATCCACAAGGATTACATGCATCTCCTGCACTGTGTGCAGTGCATATATCCTGCTTTTTTCAGACAGTACCACCAGCCCACTGAAGCTCAGCATCCCTGTGTGCACGCACATAACATACACAAAATATCCAACATGTACTCAACTTTACTGAAAATCATTTTATCATCTGTCTCTGGTTGATTAAACTAAACTACAGTCACCTGACCTTTGGCACACAAATCCAAATTAATTCATTTCTAGGTGAACTAACTCGGCTTTACTCAACTACATGCAGGTAAATGCACAGAAAGTATTTGGTGCAAAGAGATCCTCCTCAAATAGTTTGATTAAAAAATACAAGAAAAGGGGGATGGAAATCAAGAAATTCATTCAAAGGTAAGTCATATAATGAGAAATTAAAGTATTATTGCTTTGCTACATGTAACAAATGTTTTAGGTTCTTAGGAGAAACTCAGCAGAAAAGCCCTGGGACATTTGGGGGAAGCTCAGTTAGATGGTGCAGCTAGACTGAAGCACTGTGGTGACTCACCATGAAGAAGGCTCCTCTGTGGTAGTACTTCTGGAGGAACTTGTATTTGCCTTTGGTGGCTTTGTTGGTGACGACCTTGCCGTTGTTGCGCAGCTCGGCCCTACGCTCCTCCTCAGTCAAGCTGTGGAATCTCTCGATTTCAGACTTCTCCTTCTCGAAGCTGAGAACAAATAACACTCATGATCTCTTCTCTGGATGTTCCTTTATCACAAATTTATTTTCAGTCACTCAAACTAGTGTTTACTTACGCTTCTCGTGCCTCTCTGTCCCTTTTGATGCGCTTCAGCTCTCTGACTTTCCAGGCTTCGTATTCCTCCTCCTCGTTCTCTCCATCGGTGTCCAGAGCGTCCAGAGCAGCCAGCGTGCGCCGGTTCTCCTCAAACTCCTTCTTGGCCTCTTCCTCCACGATCTTGAGGGTATAGCGCCGTCGCTCCTCCGCCTGCCTCTTCGCTTCGGCCTCCAACTCTCTCTGCCTCTGCTCCTCTGCTTCACGCTCTGCCACTGTGACTCTCTCTTTTCTGTGGAGAAAACAGTTCATGTGCTCGTTAATGTTAAGGGCCTGGTATTCAGGCCGGTGTTGTTGTGATCTGCTTCCATCTAAAACACAAAAGCGCACTGCAGCTTTAACAGGAATAAAGTGTTCAGGAGTTACTTTGACAGAAACGTTCGGCTCTGCTCGAGCTCTTTCCAAACACATTTTTGAGTGTGAACAGCTCCAGACTGTACTGCATGTTTCCAAATGACATGACTGTTCTGGATAAATGAGACACAGCACACTTGATAAAAGACTCATCATTCACTCATGTTTTCTCCATGCTGTTAATTTTCGTTCCTTCAGTAATGCAAGCAGACACTTCTTGTGTGTCTTGATCTGTCAACATTCTGCACAGAAAACTGACCGTCGCATGTCTGCGACTGATAAATACGGTCTTTGGATTTACGTTGTTCTACAAACTTTCATCTCGTACTTGCGGATGAAGACAGGTTTGAGCCGCGGCTCTGCTTCGTCCTCGCTGTCGGTGTATTCCTCGTATTCAGACTCCATCTCCGACTCGTCTCCTGATTTCCCCTCTTCCTCCACCTCCATGACCTCCATCTCTTCATTCTTTCTATCCAAGGCTCGCTGACGCATCATTGCTCGCCTCCTCTCGATTTCCTGTAAGTGACCAGAAGAAAAGAAACATGTCTTAGTACAAACAGGTGAAGAAAAAAAAAAAAACTGACAAATTTAAGCTTTGAGGCACCTCATCATCCACTTCTTCTTCCTCCTCCTCTTCATCTTCACTGCTCTCCTCTCGCTGTGGGTGCCACGTGCCTTCATCAGAGTCTTCGCTGCTCTCAACCACAACTTCAGGCTCTGCTATCTGTCTGTGTCTTGCAAGCCTGAGGACAAACAGGCACAAATCATGTTCACGTCAGCTTTCCAACACGATCGTTTTGGTGAACTTGAATCAGATTGTAAACGCTGGGCGCCACCTCTCTTCCACGTCCTCAGAGACACGGTTTAGCAAACGCCTGAGACGTGGATCAGAGACGTCCTCCTCCTCCAGCTCCACCTCTGGCTCCATTTCTTTTCCCTTCTTCACAAACTGGAAGTCTTCTTCTTCTTCATCAGACGACTCCATCGGCGCGTAGTCAGGGCGTTTACCCGACACATACCTTTTCACCTTCACCTTCTCCATGGAGAGTTCACCTGGCACACAGAGACACACAATCCTCTTAATCACACTTGAACCTACGTAAAGTTTTCCGATTGGGAATACCAGCTCAGCACAACCACAAATAATACCAACTTTGCAGTTTCTCATTTTAATGTTTAGCTAAGACCAAGTCATAAATATCATCATTTATTACTGCTAAATAAATCATGACATGACAAACTGATCACCAGAAAACTGCTCGACATAATGATTTAATACCTTTCTCAAAGGACATGCAAATCATAAAAAGTCATCTTAAAAGTACCTAAACCTGAATTGATTTAATATTATACAATACTGGTAACCCCAAATGAATGATTACACAGTTTGTTTTTCAGTTATTATTTAAGTCACTTCTAATATCCAATTTCTTTGTATGTAGCAAATCTAGTAAAAACCTTTAAAAAAATACTTTTATTAATCAACGAATCCACTGACATGAAGCATAATTTTAATTCAGAACAATTTTCTTCTTCTTCTAAGTAAGAAATAAACCCACCTTTTCTTAAGCACACGTGACATCAAACTGAGTGTATTTACATGTATATATTAGTGCTATTTCTTACATTTGTAAACTCTGCAACATATTGTATTATTTAATTAGTTTAGTCTGTTGCTGTCTTGGAGCAACTGTAACCCACATAATTTCCTTGGGGAGTAATAAATTATTCTGATTCCGACTTTGGGGTCACTGGTCTTTAAGTAACTGCAATGCCTGACAGTGCTGGTGTCTGTGTATTTACGTCCTCACTGGCTTCAGGCCGCTCGCAACACGCTGATGCGGACAGTTTTTTCTACTCTTGACTCTGTATTATGTCACACAAAGGAAATATCCCCAACTGGGTCATGTCACCTGCTCTAAAAACCTTCTGTTTAGGAAGACCAGCCAATGAAAACCTTTGGCTTAAAGACGAAGGAGCTCGTTTAACACAGAGTGGACTGAGAGTTAATCTGAAGTGTAAATCGTGCAAACCACAAACCGCAATAAAAACGTGGCTCTGTTTTAATGCAACTCCACTCTGAGGCCGCAGGTAGTGCAGGATCCCATCAGGTTTATTGAGACCCGTTATCCAACTACAACACTACAGATATGTAGACGAAGATAATTTTGTAACATGTTCCGTCAATTCTTAAATTGTTACAGCCAGGACACTCATGTTATTAAATTAAGTAAAAAATAAAAAGTACAGTCCAATTTTTTCCAGCATATATCTTCGTACATAAATTTACTATCAGCTTTGCTACTCCAGCTAGCTAGCTTAGCACGCAGCTAACACCCTTCTTGCTAACCGCACAAGCTCACCTTTTTCATTCCGGACCGGCACGGCTCCGGCCGTGGACTGGATCGGTGGAAGC